CCAACCCCCCCCCCGTGGGTCAGTCCCTCACACAGGCAGTTCTTCCACGACCACCGTGCGGGCAATCACGTCGTAGGCGGTGCGGTTGTGCTTGAAGAAGAACAGGGTGAGGCAGGCTGGGAAGAAGAAGGCGATGGTGAAGTTCTTGATCACCGACCTCAGGAAGGCACTGCCGGGGGAGAGATGAGATACGTCTTTATTGTCCAGATCCTGGCACACTGGAGTGCTGTTTCACCACGTACACACACACATACATACACACACATACACAAACACACACACACATACATACACAGACTGTAGACAGAGAGAGAAGAGAGAGATACAACATCCACAGACTGTAGACAGAGAGAAGAGAGAGATACAACATCCACAGACTGTAGACAGAGAGAGAAGAGAGAAGAGAGAGATACAACATCCACAGACTGTAGACAGAGAGAAGAGAGAGATACAACATCCACAGACTGTAGACAGAGAGAAGAGAGAAGAGAGAGATACAACATCCACAGACTGCAGACAGAGAGAGAAGAGAGAGATACAACATCCACAGACTGTAGACAGAGAGAGAAGAGAGAGATACAACATCCACAGTCTGTAGACAGAGAGAAGAGAGAAGAGAGAGATACATCCACAGACTGTAGACAGAGAGAGAAGAGAGAGATACAACATCCACAGACTGTAGACAGGGAGAAGAGAGAGATACAACATCCACAGACTGTAGACAGAGATAAGAGAGAGATACAACATCCACAGACTGTAGACAGAGAGAGAAGAGAGAAGAGAGAGATACAACATCCACAGACTGTAGACAGAGAGAAGAAGAAGAAGAAGCAGGCTGTGCTGTCGTTGACTTACTTCCGTAGGCTGATGCTGCCGGCGGGTGACACCAGTACCTGACTGTGACCCAGACTACGGATGCTCTCACATGACACAACGCGCAGACCCATCAGTCGCTTGCCGGGTGTCGCCCCCACCGCCACGCCCCCCACCGTGGCACGGTACAGGCACAGAGTCTGGGGAGACACACATAGCGTTAGTGGGAGTTTTACGGCACTTGCAACACAATAAGGTCATATAAGTGAGATGTCAGATGTTGATAGTAGAGTGAGATGTCAGATGTTGATAGTGAGATGTCAGATGTTGATAGTGAGATGTCAGATGTTGATAGTGAGATGTCAGATGTTGATAGTGAGATGTCAGATGTTGATAGTGAGATGTCAGATGTTGATAGTGAGATGTCAGATGTTGATAGTAGAGTGAGATGTCAGATGTTGATAGTGAGATGTCAGATGTTGATAGTGAGATGTCAGATGTTGATAGTAGATGTCAGATGTTGATAGTAGAGTGAGATGTCAGATGTTGATAGTGAGATGTCAGATGTTGATAGTAGAGTGAGATGTCAGATGTTGATAGTAGAGTGAGATGTCAGATGTTGATAGTGAGATGTCAGATGTTGATAGTAGAGTGAGATGTCACATGTTGATAGACCTGTAGTGGAGCGGAATGTCTGATGAAAAACAGAAGGTTGTTTTGGGGGGTTTTTTGGTTAGTGTTTTGGGGCACTCGCCACGGCATAAGGTCATATACTGAGTATAGCGGACACATTAGTAGGAATTTTATTTTTTGCCCTGGCGGCGGAAGAAATCTACTCTTATCCATTTTAGGACCACTAAGGGATCTTTAATAATTTGTACCTCCAAAATTTCCAGTTCCGATTAGGCTAGGTGTTAGATCTTACTTACCATAAGATCAGGGGTGTGGCTGAAAGACAGCAGTAAGAAGGAGCCAAGGAGTAGCAGTAGAAAGACAGCAGTAAGAAGGAGCCAAGGAGTAGCAGCAGAAAGACAGCAGTAAGAAGGAGCCAAGGAGTAGCAGTAGAAAGACAGCAGTAAGAAGGAGCCAAGGAGTAGCAGCAGAAAGACAGCAGTAAGAAGGAGCCAAGGAGTAGCAGTAGAAAGACAGCAGTAAGAAGGAGCCAAGGAGTAGCAGTAGAAAGACTGCAGTAAGAAGGAGCTAAGGAGTAGCAGTAGAAAGACTGCAGTCAGGAGCCCAGAGGTGGGGGCAAACAAGATGGGGAGGGGGGGGGAGCAGAAAGTGGAGAGGAAAGTAGAGGACAGAATTTGGGTAGACAGCAGGAAACGAGGTGAAAGGAGAAAATTTGGAGAAAAAGAAATGTCTGTCAGTGTCAGGTTTCAAACTCGGGACCTACTGAAAGACAGGCGAACACTGAAACCTCTAGACCATTACAGCCCTCTCCCACCCCCCCCCACCCCCAATAAAAAAAACCAGTTGAAAATACTATTCACACATATTGACGTTTAGTTGTTAAAAGATAGGATAAGATAAGATAATACTTTATTAATTTTTCTTGGCTGTACAGGACCGTAAAAACACATGCAGGTATACATAAAACATTTTAATATCTATTACTCTCATTAAAATTCAATCTGAAAAGAGAATAATAATAATAATAATAATAATAATAAATAAGAATCAAAGGAGAATGAGATGAAGGTAACCAGGAGGGCAGCACGGACAACTGCAACAGACATTCCTGTGTATATATATATATATAATATATTTATATATTATATTTATAATTAGGAGAAACATGAACCCCAGCCAACCACGGGAAAAAACAGGAGTAGAATGGGCTGACCTGCCACTCAGCACCCAGCCAACCACTGCACTACGTCAATGCCAACAGGCTCTCCCTACCTGCCACTCAGCACCCAGCCAACCACTGCACTACGTCAATGCCAACAGGCTCTCCCTACCTGCCACTCAGCACCCAGCCAACCACTACACTACGTCAATGACAACAGCCACTCAGCACCCAGCCAACCACTGCACTACGTCAATGACAACAGGCTCTCCCTACCTGCCACTCAGCACCCAGCCAACCACTGTACTACGTCAATGACAACAGCCACTCAGCACCCAGCCAACCACTGCACTACGTCAATGACAACAGGCTCTCCCTATGTTGCTCACAGTAATCAGAAAAAATGAACTGCCAAAACAGAGAAACTGAAGGAGATACACACAGGCAGTATTGCATACAGACGTATCTCAAAGGCCCCCAAAAATGACTTACGTCTGTTTGCAATACTGCCCATGTACAGTGGAGTGTGCTCGACCACCACCTTCTCCCCACTTGACTGGGTGTTCACTCCCCGGAGGTTACACAAATGGAAGGGAAAAACACACCAGGGATTTATCTTTCTTTTCTTTTTCAACTGCTGTCTTCAGACGGACCAGGCTTGGTCACTGGTGTGAGCGGACTGCACTGACAGTGACAGCAATGTCTGAACCTTACTTCAAAGATGGTGATCAGAACTCTGTTGATGATCTCCAAGGCAATGACTTCAAAAGTGATGGCAAACGCCCGGTCGTAGTCCATGTCGCTGAAGCTCTCAAACAACTCGTCACTGCTCAGGAACGACCTGCACAGAACACAGAACAAAAACATTTCTCCACTTGCACAACATTCCAAACAAAAGCAGCGGTCACTCAGTCTGTCCAGTGACTGTCCAGGCACATCCAACACAAAACAGTTGTTCTTCTTTCAGGTAAAGTCAGGGAAACTTGGGATATCCTGCATCAGTTCAATCAACGACCCCAGTTTACAGACGCAGGCACAACACAGTAGGGAAACAGTACACAGCATCATCAATAACGAACCAGTTTCTGTGAATAGCATCATTTTCAGGCATTAAATTAAACCCTTTTCTTTAGTGCCGTCGCAATGAGTGGTCATTTCTCAGGTCCAACTCCCAACAGCACAGCACACAGACACTGGACAAAGGAGGTGTGAGCCCAGCACAGCACACAGAAACTAGAGAAAAGAGGTGTGAGCCCAGCACAGCACACAAAAACTGGAGAAAGGAGGTGTGAGCCCAGCACAGCACACAGAAACTGGAGAAAGGAGAAGTGAGCCCAGCACAGCACACAGAAACTAGACAAAGGAGGTGTGAGCCCAGCACAGCACACAGAAACTGGAGAAAGGAGAAGTGAGCCCAGCACAGCACACAGAAACTGGAGAAAGGAGGTGTGAGCCCAGCACAGCACACAGAAACTAGAGAAAGGAGAAGTGAGCCATGTCAGAACAGGTAGGCCAAAGTTGAGAAAATATCGTAGAATCTCGACACAGTTAATTAGTTGGCCAAACAGACACAGTCTACAACTTTGCCCACAAGTTTCGGATATATATATGTATA